AAAGTTTACCCTTATTCAGGATTTTGTTTATATGTTATTCTTTTCTTTTTATTTTTAAAGCATTTAAGAAATATTTGCATTGTTTTACATTTAACACAATGGTCTATCTGGAAGGTATTTTGGTATAAGTTTGCCCCACCTTAAAGAGTCCATTAATAGGTAAATAATAATAATCACAAATTTTTAAAGTGTAAGAACTTAAATAAGGGATTTTAGGTATTGATTTCTTTACAATGGAAAATGTCATTTTTAATGAAATATTCAGACTTTAAGCTTCTAAAGCATAAAGACTGCGCCTATCGAATTGATCTTTTGATTTTTGCATCGATTTTGTTAAAGATAGTTCAGAAGAAAGGCAGCCAGCAATAAACAATAAAAATTAAACCAAGTGCCTGCATCTTCCTCTTTTATTTAAATACACTCCCTGGATTCCTGACCTGATGCCATCTGGTGACTGTTGACTTCTTTCAGTGGGAGGAGAGTGAAGATTGACCTGTGTTTACCAGCTGACCTCTTTGAGTCAGAGTTTTCTTTGAACGCGTGGGCACACAGAAGAAGGCAAGGAGTAGAGCCACTATGTTCTCATCTGTTAATACCCTTTTACTGTTGTTGAAATAAAGGCCCAGGAAAAGCATGTAATAACTCACCCCCAAGTTTGATTAAGAAGCCCTCATCACCAAACATGCCGAGAAGTTTTCAGTATGATACATCATAGACCTAGAGCATCCTATTTTTAGATGTGCAGCATAGACAGTTTCTGCCTCCATGAGATTTTGGTCATTATTTCATCCTGATTTTCTGCCCACTCTTTAAAGTCCGCATGATTTAGATTTTAAAGTGAAAAAGGCATCGAGCTGCATAAAGCCTTTGTGCCACCCGTGCATCCCTTCCCACATTAAAGAAACAGAACTTGCCCCAGTCTCAAGATGGGGAGAAGCAGGTGGCTGCAAGGACGCATGAAAGATGCAATTTCTCCAATTTCTCACCTTCAGCTCAGTGAATCTGAAGCAGGATTATATCTTCTATTTCCATAAGACAAGTGTGGGCTGATGCCCTCGAATATTTATATAAAAATATGAAGGAGAAATCATCCTGGAAGCTAAGGAGGAAAAGAAGTCTTGCCCATAGCATGCTGAATTTAGATTTGTATATTTGAACTCATGAAGATACGTGTCTTTGGCAAATTCGTAGACACTATGTAGGGAAACAATGAAGGTCACCTATGTTCAGATAACAAGCAGGAGTGGTAGCGTTTTTGTATTTATAATAGTGGCAACAAATAGTCCAACATTTACTGCATGCATAGCTGTGATTCTGCAGTTGACAAATCTATCTTTAAAGAAGTTTTCAAAAGTCAATGTGACGATGTAATTGGGCAAGTCACCTACTAACATTACTGCTCAATTTTGTTATCCACCAACCATTTCTCCTTCCCCTCCAAGATTTTTAGGACAAGTAATTAGCAAATTTATTCAGGAAACATTTATGGACCATTTTGTGTACATAACACCATTTAGGGGTATAGAGCTGCTGTAGACTGAATGTGTCCCCCCAAATCCATATGTTGAAATCCTAACCCCTCAAGTGATGGTATTAGGAGGTGGGGCCTTTGGTGATGAAGTCATGAGAAGTCCATTCTCATGAATGAAATTAGTACCCTGATAAAAGAGATCCCAGAGAGCTCTTTTGCCCCTTCCATTCTGTGAGATTATATCAAGAATATGGCCATCTATGAACCAGGAACAGACCCTTACCAGGCACTGAATGTATCGGCAACTTGATCTTGGGACTTCCCAGTCTCCATAACCATGAGAAATAAATGTTGTTTAAGCCACCCAGTCTATGGTCTTTTTGTTATTGCAACCTGAAAGGAGTAAGACAAGAACCAAGAGATGCAGTCTCTACTCTCCAGTAATTGGGAAGGCAGACTGACAAGGAGACAATCATTATAGACTATGATGAATTCTATGGGAGATATATGAAGAACATCTAATCCAGACTGGGGCACTGGGAGGGTGGTTGTGGGGACATGATACTGAACTGAGTCTGAAGGGTCCACAGAAGGAGAATTAGCCAGGTGAATGCTGAATGGAACAAGGTGTGAGAGAAGGTGTATTTTATTTTCTTCATTGGCAAGTAGTTCTGTATTTTTGGAGTACTGACTACCACAAGATAGAGAATGATTAAAGAGTTTGTAGAGACCAGACCATGAAGAGCTGTTCATATTATCTTACAGATTTCAGGTTTCCACTTGAAAGCTTTGGGGAGAAATGGAAGAGTTGGTTTTTTTTTAATTTTATTATGTTATGTTAGTCACCATACAATACATCATTGGTTTTTGATGTGGTGATCTACGATCCATTGTTTTCGTATAACACCCAGTGCTCCATGCAGGAAATGGAAGAGTTTTAAGCAACAGACTAAAAAAGCCAGATTTGTATTTTGGAAAGAATCTTTGCATAAAGATTATTAAGTTAAATGAAACCTCCTTAGAGAGTATAAAGTCCTGTGCCTTAGCTATGAAATCAAGCACATCAAAGATGCCTGGTGGCCCAGTGACGGAGGTTGCTCCTTATTTCCAGAACTTCATTTTGTAATTCACTGGAGACCGTATCCAGAACATAAACATCCACATTCTGGTTCCTGTTTCTTCAGTCATGCTGGACACTTTTGTGAAAGAGGACGTTGTCCCCACAGTGAACCTGACAGAAATGACAAGAGAAGGCATTTCCACCCAGCGAATTTCAGTGCTTCCTCTGGGATGACCACTCCTCTTGCAGTGTGTCTCTGCATTCAGCATGTCACATTCCATCATACTGAGCAGTGACTCTGAGTCCTTCTTGCTAGGATGTTCTTTTAGGCACTGCTTGTCCCGCATCAACCCAGAGCTATAATACTCTGCTTCAAGTGGAGTTTTTGTGACGCTTTGTAATTAATTTTTTTTTTTTTAAGGCTGCTGGGTGACCTACTTTCACTTCGATAGTCACCAACAAGCTCCATGTCCTACTCACTAATGATGTCTAATGATGTGCCTAATGCTGCAGTCAACATAAGAATGCAGATATCTTTGGGGTGCCTGGGTGGCTCAGTTGGTTAAGCATCGACTCTTGATTCAGCTCAGGTCATGATCAGGGTCATGCAATTGATCCCCGTGTCAGTCTCCCACCCCCCCACCCCTCCCCCTGCTCATGCTCTCTCTCTAAAATAAATAAATAAATCTTTAAAAAAAAATGCAGATATCTTTTCCAGATAGTGACTTTATTTCCTTTGGATTTATATATATCTTGAAGTGAGATTGCTGGATCATATGGTAGTTCTATTTTTAATTTTTTGAGGAACCTCCACACTGTTTTCCATAATGGCTATACCAATTTATATTCCTACTAACAGTGTACAAGGGTTCCCTTTTCTCCATATCCTTTCAACACTTGCTATCTTTTGACTTTTTTTTTAAAGATTATTTCTTTATTTTTAGAGGGAGAGAGAGAGTTTACATGCACAGGGAGAGGGGCAGAGGAAGAGAGAGAGAGAGAGAATCTCAAGCAGGGCTCGGTCTAACGACCCTGAGATCACGACCTGAGCTGAAACCAAGAGCCGGATGCTCAGCAGACTGTGTGACCCAGGTGCCCCTGACTTGGATAATAACCATTCTAACAGGTATGAGGTGATATCTCATTGTGGTTGTGATTTGCATTTCCCTGGTGATTAGTGATGTTGAATACATTTTCACATGCCTGTCAGCCATTTGTATGTCTTCTTTGAATATTGTTTATTCGGGTCCTTTGCCCATTTCTTAATGGCTTATTTATTTGTTATTGAGTTATATGAGTTCCTTGTATATTTTGGATATTAAACCTTAATCAGATAAATTATTTACAAATATTTTCTCTCATTCCATAAGTTGTCTTTTCATTTATTATTTCCTTTGTTGTGCAGAAGCTTTTTAATTTGATGTGGTCCCACTTGTTTTTGGTTTTGTTGCCTCTGCTTTTGGTGTCAAATGCAAAAAATCATTGTTCCAACCAATGTCAGGGAGCTTACTGCCTCTGTTTTCTTCTAAAAGTTTAACCATTTCAGGCCTTCCATTTAAGTCCTTAATCTATTTTGAGGTGATTTTTGTGTATGGTGTAAGATAGAGGCCAATTTTCATTCAAAATAGAACACATGACCTAGATAATACTCTGGCATGCTTAAGAACTTGAGAAAATAGAAGAACTATTATAAATCAATAGGAAAAAGGATGAATTATGGAATAAATGGTGCTGGGAAAATTGTTTGGATTAAATGAAATCCATTAAGATTCCTATTCCATGTCATATATCAAAATAAATTCTGTCCCATAAATAAGACAATATCTAGACTAAAATATAAATTGATTTCTCATAATAAAAGTAACAGAAACTGAATAAATAGCATTTGAATAATTAACACTAAAAATATCCTCAGTACATTTTTTTTTACTGCAACGCAATGTAATTATTATAAAAGTAATTTAAAAGAATAATTTTATAATCAGTGGGGAAAGCAGAATAATTTCCCTCAAAAATAGGTTTGTGTCCTGATCCCTGGAACCTGTGGCTATATTACTTTTCATGGCAAAGGGGCAGGTTACAGATAAAACTAACTTTGCAGGGGCACCTGGGTGGCTCAGTCGGTTAAGCGTCTGCCTTCGGCTCAGGTCATGATCCCGGGGTCCTGGGATCGAGCCCCGCATCGGGCTCCCTGCTCCACGGGAAGCCTGCCTCTCCCTCTCCTGCTCCCCCTGCTTGTGTTCCCGCTCTCGCTGTGTCTCTCTCTGTCAAATAGATAAATAAAATCTTAAAAAAAAAAAAAAAAAACCTAACTTTGCTAACCAGTTGAATTTAGGAGAGGAAGATTATCCTGGATTACCTGGGTGGGAAATGTAATCACAAGGGTCCGTAAGTGGGGAAGAGGGAGGCAGAAGAGGTCAGAGTGATACAATCTGAGAAGAACCCTAATCATTGTTGCTGGCTTTGAAGACAGGGTAAGAGGGCCATGTGCCAAAGAATGTGGATGGCCTCCATAAGCTGAAGAGAAGGAAATGGATTCTTCCTTAGAGCTTCCAGAAAAGAAAACAATCTTGCCAATACCCTGATTTTAGCCCACTGAGGCCCATTTTGGACTTCAAAACTATAAGGTAATAAATCTATGTTGTGTTAAGTCACTAAGTTTGTTACAATTTATTATAGCAACCATGAAAACTATGATCTAGAGGTAGTTTTCAAAATTCTAAGAGAATATTGTGTACAATTCCATGCAAATACATTTTAAAGGGTAGTTGATTTGTTAGATAAATGTAAATTATCAAAATTCACTTAAGAATAAAAAAACCTAGCAGAAATCAGGTACTATATTAGAAAAATAATTTAAAATTTTACTCAAGAAAGATACTGGTCCCAAATCATTTTACTCATGAGCTAAATCAGACTTTGAAGTAACAAATGATCTCATGTTCCCTAAATTGTGCAAGATAAAGGTGGAGAGCCTCCTTAAACATTTTGTATTTCGAAAATATGTTTTCACCCTAACACGCCAACCTTAGAAGGACAATACCAACAATAAACCACAGACTAATCTCACTTATGAATAAATGTAAAGTTACAAAGAAAATATCTGTTAACTCAATCCACTAGTATCTTAATACTATACAGTACTAATGAAAGAAAAGGCCAGACAAGCATTTTAGAAAACTCAGAAACAGATCCAAACCATACTATGCTTATTTCTATATTAATCGAAAATTTCAAATCCAAAGATGAATTTTATAATATATGGAGCTAGGAAAACTGGTTGTTTGGGGAAAAATAAAATTCCAATTCCAGTTTAAAAATTAATTGTAAAAAGTGACTAAAATGGTAAACTACACATAACGGAGGAAACGTAAGTAAAATTTTAAGAGTTTAAAGGATTCTGGGAGGGTGATGCTGGTGGTGAAATAGTTTGTGTATCTTATCAAATTCTCCCATTAAAGCAGAGAACAATTAAAATATGAACATCTAACCCAAAGGCAGTATCTACAACAAAACAAGGTGACAAAATATCCCCATTAACCCTAAATTCTAGGACAAACCACTGACAGCTACAAGGCCAATGTAGCATTAGCATCTGTGCAGGAAGTAGAAGAGGAAAGCAATAGGGCATCTGAAGGACATGAGAATACCAAATCAACTAACAGGTACTCTCCCACAAGCTCAGTCTAGCAACTGGAGAAGATAAGCTAAGACTTTATGAATTGGTTTGCAAGATCCAATAATGGGTGGGTACAAGTGGTCCACAGAAAAAAACTAAAGGAGAGCCTGAGACCATGGGCTCTTAGATGAATCAACCAAATCTCTCTTCCCAACTGGGAATAGAAAACGAATTGAGCATAACAACAAAGACACAAAGGAAACCATGTTTGTGTAAAAGTGGAGAAAGTAGCAGAGCTCTGAATACTCAGAAATTAAGCTGCAACCATCTTGACCCAATTGATATTTATAGAATACTACCATAATAAGTATAGAATACACTTTTTTAGTGCATGTGATACATTCATTAAGATAGACCATATGCTGGGCTCTAAAACTAGTTTCATTAAATTTAAAAGTATTCAAATATTATAGAACATATTTTCTTTCTTTTTTTTTTTTAAAGATTTTATTTATTTATTTGAGAGAGAGAGA